GTAGCAGAAGAGTGGACTTGGGGAGGCAGGTGTGGTAGGCAGGTAGCAGAAGAGTGGACTTGGGGAGGCAGGTGTGGTAGGCAGGTAGCAGAAGAGTGGACTTGGGGAGGCAGGTGTGGTAGGCAGGTAGCAGAAGAGTGGACTTGGGGAGGCAGGTGCGGTAGGCAGGTAGCAGAAGAGTGGACTTGATGTCTAGTGGCTGGAGGAATGGTTCCTCCAGGTCCTCATGCATATTTATATCATGATTGAGGATGTAAAGTACGGGCTTCTGGTGTCATGAGGGGCAGTTCTGGGAGACAGAGTTCGGTGGAAGGCTTGAAGGAAAATTTTTGAATGAATGTCACATTTATATAGAGCATTTCAAGACACCCAAAGCACTATACAGAGCCAATGGGGGGCCACTTCAACACCCCCACTGTGTAGCCCCCACCTGGATGATGCAACGGCAGCCATTCTGCACCAGTACGCTCACCACACAGTAGCTAAGGTGGTGAAGGGGCAGGAGAGAAATCACCAGTTATCACCTAATGCATTACCAGAGGTATAAATACTCTTGATTTTGTAATTGAGTTTTTTTTTCCAGAATCTGTACTTTATTAAGCAATTTAAAACTGGGATTCTGCTTGAGTACATACAAAATACTATAACAGTATAGTTACTCCCGTATTTACCCCTGAAGTGTGTCTGCAGAGTATGCTTACCTGAGTATATGATTTTCATACTTTGTCCATACCCTTCCATAACCTTACAGCTAATGTATAATTCAGCCCCTGTTTGAAAAACAAGAATGGAAATCAGTGCTTAACAATCTGCTTGCCACAACAGGCGTCATTTTCAACATACATTAGAAAATGTCCTTGTTTGGGGGGAGTTGGGGTCTCTATTTAAGTATGCTGAAGAGGGAATAACAAGGGAGCTTTCATTAAATTAAAAGTGATTTTTTTACTGTCGTCATTCTCACATTGGTGGCTAAAAATATGGTGGCATCCCGCAGTGTCCATGTTATATCGATCAGGCAGCTGTGGGGAATTGCAGGTGAATGCTGTTGAATTGAGTCACGTCACCCGAGATGCCGGACTGATGGGTGTTTTGGATATTCTGTCTTTTACTGGCTAATCTGGGTTGTGCACTGACTCAGTATATAACAAGTTTGCTCCCTCCATGGCTGTGAGATTCGATTCCTACTTTCTCAAGGATGTCCACTGGAGTTCTTGTTTTGTCTTACAGGTTATTCAGTTGGTATTTATAAATTGCCCAGTGCTCAGCGCGTGTGTCCTGCTTTGAACTCGCATCCCATCCAGGAATGCCACAGGATATGTGGTCATGGGAAAGGAATAGACCAGGTAACCTTATTCCAAGCCTCACCAAGAAGGTGGAATGCTTACGGTCACCCGGAAGCAGATCAAGTCAAGTCACCTTTGAATCATGTCAGGCAGGTGGAGGAAATCCACGTTTCTTTGGAGCAGTATATAGGCAGAATAAGGAACGATACATTGTTGCTTGTATTTTACTGACTCTGTACATTAAAGTCACTCGTTGGTGCTAAACAGATGCATTCAAACACCTTTGAGGACGAGTAACTTGGTTTGTATGGAGGACGCTGTCACAATACGCAGCTGGTCTGATTTATTTCTTGACATAGTTCAGGCAGGGCCAACTAAACTTAATTAGAGTTGGTGCTGCAGAAATCTGGTGATTAATTCTTTGGTAACACAAAATCACCCCCTAAACAGATGTTTGCACAAAGACACTTATCTTGCGTCTCTGCAGAGTTCAAATCAGATCTTTGAAGGCAGGTCTGTGCTTCGTATTTACAAGTCAGTGAAAACCACAGGGTGTGTTTGTGCTGTTTCTTTCCCTGGAACATAAACTAAAAATTATTTTGTAAAAAAATATATATATATTGTATTCCCTAAATATTCACATCACACAGGATGGGGGAAACGTGAGATACTGAGGTGGCAGGAAGCTTTGTTTGGTGATGGGAGTTGAAATGGGTTCAACAAAATCAGCGGGGGAACGAAAAAGCAATAAACAGCTGTTTTTGTCATCGGCAGGAGGGGAACACCCCGTGCAATAAAGGGTCTGTAAAAGGGTTTGGTCATGTGTACTGGGGATGCTAAGGAAAGGAACATTTAATCGTATAATGCCTGCAATAACCCAAATGGAATCTATAAATCTACTCAACTGATTTCGTTTTAGCCACTGACATGCATTTCCCCATCGTGTCCCACCTTACAGAGTCACTAGAATTAGAATTCTGTGAAAATAAGGAGTAAAACTGAATCGGATGATAAACCTGAGTTTGTATTATTCTACGCACGTTAACGATACTCTGGCTTGAATTGCAAAGGTTTCCGAAAGTACATCAAATGTGTGGTCATCATTCAAGTCGTGTTCAAGGCCCCCGTGCCCACTGCGTTTTTGTGATGGAAATAATCTTTTTTTTTTTTTTTTCGGCGCGGGATAGGGAGACACGCCACCAACAAATATATTTTAATGGGGATCTTTATTATCTGCGAGACCACTAAGAGGGTCTAAGTCGGTTTCCTTCAAAACGTGTAACAAGATAAAAGAATACAGAAAAGGAACAGAAATAACATACACAATGTTATTTGGTTTTAAATTCGGAAAAAACGTATTTCTCCCCTTGCACTGTGGAAATATCAAACAAGTATTTAAATAAATAAACACTCGAGGTGTAAAATAAAAATATTCTCTATACTCCTAAAATAGTACAAAATGAACGGCAGTGGTGACACTAGGAGGACAAAACACAAAACATAAGCACCAGACACGACACATTTGTCATGTATTACCTACATTTACATTAGACATCGGAAATACTTACAACTTAGTTACCCCCGTAACTCACTATTGTAGGTTCTCGATCCTCTGGATGACTCAGAACTAAATGAAATTAAATAATTTATAAATCCGCTAATATCGTCCACCTAGAAAACCCGCCATTACCATGCACAGTGTTCGACCAACCAAACGACGATAATCTTACGTGAAAGAAGGTATTACATTAACATCCCCTTACTCTGGATACTTTCCTTCAACGAAGGAAATCCATTGATCTATTTTCATACAGAGTTCTACAACTTTTACCGAGTATTTTATGTCTGCATTTTTGTACTTACAAAAAAAGTTATCTGTAGCTACTCAGCACCCAACGGCCGCTTCGACTAACTCCCGGCTTTTTCAGTAACGTATGCACAGCAATCCCAATGAGCTTTGCAAAGCTCATTCCCGTACTACAAAGTGACGTCACTGTAGTCCTTCTCTCCCAACGGAACATACACCTGAAACACCACAAGTATTTACATGTGTTCATCCAATCAGACATGACCCGACTACATTTTATCTTGAATATTTTCTTTTTAAGTTTATGACCGTCATTTGCCACGTTTTTTTTATTCCGGAAAGTGCATTGTGGCAAAACACAGAACGGATTAGGCTGTTACTGATTGAAAAATCTGGTAAGAAATGCAGTTTAATTTTTAGCATACTGGCATATTCCAGAAAAAGGCTTTCCTGCACCAGAGCAATGGCCCCTGGAGAGTCACAGGACAGCACTCACTTTTCCTATTATTGGCCATGCTGATTTTTAGCCAGGTGGGAACTCTCTAGGGACAGACCAGCCACTGGGATTTTTGTGACAATATTCTGTCATCAGTCTCCAAGGTGCCTGGTGCTGGTTTGCTATGCTGAGTCGCTATTCCACAGCAATGATAAACACTACGCTCCCTACATGAATAAAAAATGTAGCTGCATAGCCTGTTGCTTTTGTCCAGGGTACTGGACACTGTATGCTGGCTTTAATCCCACAATCCAACGCAATGCACTTAGACAGTGTTGGGCATTTCAGGCCCAGAAGCTACAAATCCAGACCTAGATTTTGTTTCTACCCATCAGTTGAGCATAAAGAGTGACAGTCACAGAGCACTCAGCCCAACACTGCAGTTGGGTGAACTACGTCTCTAAATAGTGCGTAGTGTGCATGAAGTGCGTAGTGTGTAGTGTATAGTGTGCATTTCATTGGGTTAATGCTCTGTACCCAGAGGTGTGTGGGTTGACTAACCATAACACCACTGGGTTCCTTGAGCTAGGCCCTTAATCCCTGCTGCTCTAGGACAGAATCCCTGTTCTGTAACAATAATCTACCAGACAGATGTAAGTGGATTGGCATCATGGAGAAAGAGTTCTGGTGTGTTTTTGTCCTGTGCTTCCTGGATGGGTTTCCAGGCTCCCCAAGAACCTGGTTGCTTGTGTAGCTCACCGAGTAGAGTGTTGTGTTAGCATTGCAATGGTTACGGATTTGTATCCTACACATAAATTGCAACCCTTTGTTGTACTGTGAGACACTTTGGATAAAGAGTGTTGAGTAAATGTAGATAACTAGACATGATGGTTAGACAGTTGGATGTTCTACCTGGCAGTATAGATGTTAAGATGCCATTGTGATTTTAAAGAACACTCTGTACCACTTTAACCACATCAAAACCAACTCAGTTCAACACCAGCAGAAGACATGCTTAGAATAGATCAGTTGTTTGAGGGTTTCTGCCTACTGGGTGGTATTTCTAACATCTGAGCTGATAATATCTGACCTTGTATGCCGCTGAATGTTTTAATGAAGCAGTTCAGGTTAAGTACCAAATTCAAAGATAAAACAGCAAGGGTCATCTGGCAACCTCAGGCGGTCCACATTTTTGCTCCCTCCCAGCTCCCCGCCAGACAGTCTACATTTTTGCTCCCTCCCAGCAAAAACATAGACTGTCTGGGGGGTCCCCGAGGGCCGGATTGAGATACACTGTTGTAGGACACCCACCCCAAGCTGGTGGCTTTTGCTCTTGGATTCTATATCTATCCTGACAGTTTGTGTTAATCGAGTTCTTTTAAAGCCATTGGCTTTTACTATCTTAACTATTCATCAGTTAATCCTGGTTGTGTCCCTCACTCTGAAGCAGCACAGGAAGCGTGAGTGAGCTGGGTGGTTGTGCTTAATCTGGTTGAGTCAGACATTGTGAGGCGATAAAAGAAATAGTCAGGCAGCCTGTGTTATAAAAGAGCTCTTGGTAAAAAAAACACTGTGGTCTCTGAACAGAATCAGCTGTAAGCAAACCTCCCTTACTCAGCTGCCTGGTTCTAAGATCCTTGAACACTGTGAAAAGGATTAAGCTTGTAAAGTAGTGAGTCTATAAACAATTCAGAGCTGAATACTTTCCTTTATAAACAGGTGATTAATAAAAAAAAGACTGTTTTCTTCAGGACAGGTTCTGTTTACGTCAACTGAATGTCACTACAGATATAAAGATGCTTTTGGAGAAGCTGTCACTACATTTGGCTATTAGGTTCTCCTATCTAAGGAGAATCAGAGACAAATCAGAGCAAAAATCACCTGGTAAACTGATAAAATCAGTTTAAGGACACAGGGATGTTTTGCGAAACACAGAGTCTGGGCTGCTGTCTCTCTCGTCATGACCCACAAGGCCTCACTTATAGAGAACTAAAATTCTCTTTGAGTCAGAAAATAGAAAAGACCACTGCAATGTCGAGGCTTGTCAGTATGAATAGTCGCCTTCAGTGAGAGATAAACCATGACTTTGGTAGATTTTTCACTCAGCAGGACTATTCCAGAGAAACTACACTATTCCACTACAGTATGATCTCCACTGGACGACCCTAGGTGCTGTGCTAAAAAGGAAAAGTGGGACTCCGAACAGCGGCTTCGTTTGTGACCCGTATGCGAGCCCACGTGCGACCGGCAGCTGTCCTTGGTGCTGATTGGAGAGCTGACCACAACCTCGTACACTTCAGTATCTGCAGAATTTACATCTGGCAACTTTACGGCTGTTTGAGTAAGATCACAAACGCAATATTCGCCAGCTGTCATTATTTATTACAAACTTTTAGATACCACTCCTGCATGTGTTGAGGAGTAAATAGGAATGTCATTCCTTGATGGAGGTAGCTCACAGTGTCTGGGTTGGTGACACAGTAGCCTGATATCGCCAGGGTCACGGGTGCGATTCCGAACTCCACCATTTTCTGCATGGGGTCCTGCACGTTTCCTCTGTGTCTGTGCTGGTGAGCGTGTGCCCTGTGATGGACTGGCATCCTGTACAGGGTGTACCCCCAGCCTAGTGCCCTGTGATGGACTGGCATCCTGTGCAGGGTGTACCCCCAGCCTAGTGCCCTGTGATGGACTGGCATCCTGTGCAGGGTGTACCCCCA